TAAAATAACATCTAAAAACCCCAATGAATATTTACAATGAATACAAATCTATATACAAGAAACTAAACAAAAATTTTGTTAGTAGTAAAACCCCCACAGCCCTAACTGTGGCAGAGACATCAGTTAACTGGACGAAATCAATGTGGGACTTAAAAAAGTTAAATAAAACATTCATACCATCCATGCACTCACTACAAACACACACTCAAACAAACACAACAACAAATACGAAAGACATACTCGAAACTGCAAGAGCTTATATAGACCACAGAGACAGGCAACTTTCATCATACCAGCTCAAGGGATTAGACCAAATGATCCATCATCATTCCAGCAGAGCACTGGTCTCTCAGAAAATACCAACACCCCATCCACTACAGCTCAACATGTGAAGACACAGACCAGCCAAATACAATAACTACCACCAACACCATCAGACCAGCCCATGAGAAGAAAGACTCCAACAAAATTCAAGGAGTTTATCATATATAAATAAAATAAATAGAATAAATTAAGATTGGGAACAGTAACTTTTGTTTGTCAATGGCGATATAAGAGGAGCTCTTTAACATGAAAGATGACTGCCATTATATGATAGTGAACAAACATCTATGTGTAAAATATAAAAGCTTGCATATAAAGTTTTGAAATTCACCAGGAGTTTGTTGCTATGTATGATAAACATATAGTGACCAGGAATTAAGCATTGGTCTTGTGTAGTGTGTTTAGTGAGGCATAGGAATCTGCAGAGTGAGTCTTGTCAAGTGCCCATGTTTATCAACAACAAAAGACAACATATACATAAAGATACAACTGTAGAGTTTTATGCATGAGATCATCTATGAGAAGTTGATATATCGGAAATTGTGATCTTATTGGATTCCAAAGAATGCTGTAAAGAAAAATGTGAACACCGCACACGGAGAAGAGAGTGAATCAGTATACGAGTTCCAGCACATGGGCATTAGGAATGGTATTGCTGGTTGTAGGGAATTTCAGGGGTTAGGATTTGGGTGTATCATGTTGCCTTATAGGAAAAATGGTGAGCCGATGATCAAAATCATCCATTATCACTGACCACTCAAAAATTCAAAGTCTAACAGTCAATGAAAAAATTTATGGCAGCTATGTTCTAGCAAAGCTAAATGTATGCTATTTGTGAATTTAATGCCATGTGGATCAGATGATTAAGACAGATTCTTTGAAACACTGGACAGACTGAATGAAACTCAGAGGACATTTGTGTAAGGGTGTACCACCCCACATATAGCCGTCCTAACTTTGCTCTTTCAGATTATCATTGGTGTGAGCCTCTCAAGTGATACTTTTTTTTCTGGGAAAAGGTTCTATACCTTTATTGTAAGGGTGGTTTCACTGTTTTATGACACAAAGAGAGTAGTTATGCACTTGTGCATCATTCACTATTGACTACATGGAAAAGTACATGGTAGTGCTGGCAACATTTGCACAATGTTTTAGTTATCTTGTAATGAACATGTTGCATTAGTAAATATTTGTACTATATTGTTCAGAAATCCTTTGCAATTTTTTTTTTGCTTTGTTTGACATAAGGCCACAAGTACAGAGCATCCAATATGGCTCAAACTCTTATCAATAATAATGGTGAACTGGACTAGCTTACCCTACCCTGAGGCACCCAAATGCCAAGATACAGTTGATAAGAAAAGTTGACTGGTCATTTTATAATGTATGACTGATGCAAATAGGATGAGGCTTAGACTAACTGGAAACTTGGAAATTTCATGTGTTTCCTGCAACACATGGTAAAATTAATATAGTGAGAACTAGTGAGACAGTAATGGGTTTAAACAGTGAGTTGTCCTTAAAGGATAACATGAGGTCATTCACTGTAATAGGCGACATAGAAATGACTCTTGAAGATAAAATATTTTCAATAGTGACTGGAAAAGAAGTTCTGTGAAGCTAGTTATGAAATATCTAGATAAAATCAAGTAATGAAGTGCTATTGAGATCAGGTAGTTAGTGCTTCATTAAGGGGAATGTCTTCTGATGTCAAGAATCTAAGTATAAGCCTCATCCTATTTGCATAGAATTGCGCAAGGAAGAATTGTGTTCAATTCCCAAACAACATATTTGTCAATAGGTGTATTCTGATTAGTATTTCACCAAAGTGTCCAGTACAAGAATAATTTTTGTAGTGGTTTGGTTCCTCAGACAGGAGTCATTTGAAAGACTACATTTAGGAGGTGCTGAAACAGGTAAGTAATAAGCTGTCATGGTAGAATGATTTGTCTTACAAATTGAGCTTGGATTTATTACAGATGTTTGATCAGGAAAACACTGAAGAAAGGATTCTGGCAATATTTTCTCTAATTTTCATGACTTGGAGGATTCATTTGAAAATTTATTTACATTTTCTTTTCAAAAAATGAAACTGGATATATTTTATAAAAAAAATGAACTGATAAGCTTAAGTTTAGGTCTATGAAAAATTGAAATGTAAAATGTAATCAGTTTCCTTTTTTATGATTATTTGTTTACTAATTCTAGGGATTAGGTTTTATTTTGGAGTTTAAAAAGAAATTTATATTTATATTTTCTTAAAAAGGATACATTTTTATTCAGTTCAGTGATTTTCTTTAAAGCTTTACAATAAGCATTTATTTGAAGGATTAATCAATGATTCATTTCAAGAAACAAATTTCTATCATTACAATTCCTTTTTGACAAGTTAAAAATTGCATAAATTCACAAGTTTCTAAAATTAGATATATGAGAAAAGTTATATAGAAAAAAACTGTTTTATTAAATTCCTCGTCCCAAACTTAGTTTCAAAGTTTCAGGCATGTACCTCCCAATAGATACTGTTTATGGCAAGTTCAAGATGATATACATTTGACTTTTTTTTCCTACTTTCAAATTGTGCTTCTGGCTGTTTTTATATGGTGTAAATGAGATTTTTATTGATGTACGACTGAAAAAAAGTACCTTTATCTCTGTTGTGACATGAAAGAAGTTGCAAGGTTGGGCCATTGGCAACTAAACCAATTTCTCTACCAGACTTTTCTGGTGAGGAGGGTGGTTAGACACCTAGCAAGATTTAAAACCAAGTCCAGTCAAAGGGTGGATGAACCTTCTTGTAGAGTAATCAGCCATTTAACATAATGGGGTATTATATTACTTCATAGTTAAGTATATATCTGGTGTGGTGATTGTATGGCTGGCTTCCTATACTGGATTCAACAGTAAGGTTCCTCAATGGATTTATTGTGTCTGTGACCAAGGCAAGCCATGAAGTTGAAGCTGTGGTTTGACCTTGTGAAAGAAGGTCACTACCAGGCCTATTTGTGCAATACATACTATGTATGAATGAATAAATCTTTGGCTTTCAACCCAGATATGTGGAAAAATTGATCAGAACTGATCAGGTACTGAACTGTTCAGAAATCCTACAACCATGCCCAATCATGGGACTGATGATGATGAAGTAACTTCAGTTGAACTTTCTACTAGACGGAACTATTTTTTTAAATACTACACAGTTTTACACTGTATATTATTTAACAGTTCATTGAAAACTATGTTCAATTGTAAAACTGAAAAAAATTTCTTGACCACATCTAAATGATATAAAATATAGTTATCATTGTAAACTTAGCCTCTTTCTCGTATGATTAAGCTAGGAAACTCTTCTTTAGATTGCTTCTTCCTTCTGCACTTAAGCAAAACAGTTGAAGCATTCCTAAATTTGTGCAGTTAATACTGACATATTACAAGGCATTTTGGGGAAGCTTAAATGCATCAAATTTCATATTGAATGTGAATATGGATCAATATTGACAAAAAATGAAATAGCATTTATATTTTAGTATGGGGTAATGTGGAATACCTGGAAACTTGATTTATAAGTACATCATCAATCTCTACCTAATGTAGGTTTTTATTGTATTTTTTCTTGGCTAAGATAATATAAAGTATTTTGTATATTAATTGCCATTAAATGTTATTTAACTGTTCAAATGAAACTTATATGAGCAATCAAAATGTACCCTTCTGTGTCATGTCTTAACTATTTCATTTTTTAAAACAATTTTTCCCATTGTTTAGGCTGGTGTGATCTAATAATTATTGATTCCATTAGTTTTACATTTATTTCAAACTATATGACATTGCATTTATAATGATTTTTAATTTGAATGAATCCTGCATGTTCAGTTATACACTTAAAATCAGGTTCTCATCCAACATCACATGAAACAGAAAACTGACAAACTTTAATATTGAAAATAAAATTTTAGTTTGGGATGCCTACTATAAGGAGGTGTTGGAGAGACTTGTGAGGCTTTGGATAGAGAGCATAATTAAAGGAAGGCCATATAGCTATTTTTTTCGACATCTCATAAGGCCAAGATGGCCCAAGAAAGGTTGAGTTACAATCTCCACAATCACATCACCCCAAACATATATGGCCTCTTAACTCTCCAGAAATTAATCCATTGGAAGGGTATATATGTAGCATAGTCAAGAGAAAAGTCAATTAACACCATAAATTATAATATCTCTAATGTTTGCCATAAGTAGCACAATATCACAAATGGATAAAAGTTTGGTTTTGTTAACATTTCAAACCTTGTAATGAAGCAATAATTGATGATAACAACAGATTCATTAAGTAAATGCATCAAGAGTAGTTTAAAGATTATTCATGCTGATTCCTCCTCTCTCCGCAAATGAAACTTCTTTCATGACTTATATCTTTTACTAAATTCATGCAAATGTCCTAAAAGATCTGAGCAACCTCATATATATAATCTGTGTGTGCATGGAATGAAGTACTTACTGCCTAAAATTTTAGGGACTGAACAATATGTGAATTGAATGCAGTACATACTTTTTGCAACTTTTTATGAGATGATGATGATGATATGCTTATTTGTTTGCTTGTGAATTTGTAATACCGAAGTTATATATTTTTATCTTTTAATTAAATTTATAATTAATATTTTTCTATTTATTAGACCGAGTGGGGTTGTCCTGGTATAGCAATAGCAGTTAGCATTGATGGTAAAAATACTTGGAGTGAAGGTAAATTTTTATTAGTTTTACTTTTATGCTCAAGTTGTAATGATTTCTTATTGCAAAACATCTTTCATTTCAGCAAACAACTTCTGTCATGTTCATGTTAGGTCATTTTTACAAATTCTACTGGTACCATGTATCCTGTACTACTTGCTGCATGGTTGGGCCATTGGCAACTAAACCAATTTCTCTACCAGACTTTTCTGGTGAGGAGGGTGGTTAGACACCTAGCAAGATTTAAAACCAAGTCCAGTCAAAGGGTGGATGAACCTTCTTGTAGAGTAATCAGCCATTTAACATAATGGGGTATTATATTACTTCATAGTTAAGTATATATCTGGTGTGGTGATTGTATGGCTGGCTTCCTATACTGGATTCAACAGTAAGGTTCCTCCAATGGATTTATTGTGTCTGTGACCAAGGCAAGCCATGAAGTTGAAGCTGTGGTTTGACCTTGTGAAAGAAGGTCACTACCAGGCCTATTTGTGCAATACATACTATGTATGAATGAATAAATCTTTGGCTTTCAACCCAGATATGTGGAAAGAATTGATCAGAACTGATCAGGTACTGAACTGTTCAGAAATCCTACAACCATGCCCAATCATGGGACTGATGATGATGAAGTAACTTCAGTTGAACTTTCTACTAGACGGAACTATTTTTTTAAATACTACACAGTTTTACACTGTATATTATTTAACAGTTCATTGAAAACTATGTTCAATTGTAAAACTGAAAAAAATTTCTTGACCACATCTAAATGATATAAAATATAGTTATCATTGTAAACTTAGCCTCTTTCTCGTATGATTAAGCTAGGAAACTCTTCTTTAGATTGCTTCTTCCTTCTGCACTTAAGCAAAACAGTTGAAGCATTCCTAAATTTGTGCAGTTAATACTGACATATTACAAGGCATTTTGGGGAAGCTTAAATGCATCAAATTTCATATTGAATGTGAATATGGATCAATATTGACAAAAAATGAAATAGCATTTATATTTTAGTATGGGGTAATGTGGAATACCTGGAAACTTGATTTATAAGTACATCATCAATCTCTACCTAATGTAGGTTTTTATTGTATTTTTTCTTGGCTAAGATAATATAAAAGTATTTTGTATATTAATTGCCATTAAATGTTATTTAACTGTTCAAATGAAACTTATATGAGCAATCAAAATGTACCCTTCTGTGTCATGTCTTAACTATTTCATTTTTTAAAACAATTTTTCCCATTGTTTAGGCTGGTGTGATCTAATAATTATTGATTCCATTAGTTTTACATTTATTTCAAACTATATGACATTGCATTTATAATGATTTTTAATTTGAATGAATCCTGCATGTTCAGTTATACACTTAAAATCAGGTTCTCATCCAACATCACATGAAACAGAAAACTGACAAACTTTAATATTGAAAATAAAATTTTAGTTTGGGATGCGGAAACCGCCATTGATTTACTGAAAATGGTGAGCTTAGAACATAGCTATGAAAATGTATTTAATAAAACTCAATCTGTTGATTAATATTCACCATTGAATTAAATGTATTGACGGAAGGAGATTATGTTGAAAAAATACCTGTTGTGGGAAATAAATGCTTTTTGTCATCATTACACTGCAGACTTATTGATGTACATTTAGAAAAGTATGAAACTGATGATTTATATTGAAACCATCTTTCATCAAAATATTGGTAGACTGCATTTGATTAGCAAACATAAAGCCATATTGGTGAATAAGAATGTTTACAGTTCCACTTTTCATAATTCTTATATATCAAGTCAGATATTTTATACATATTTGAGATTGCTGCAAATAAAAATGGTGACTTTATAAAATGAAAGTAGTTTTAGACCTTTTGACTGAAAGTTTCCAACATATTTATATATCTCATGTAAATATTGAAGTTTAAAAACTGCTTGAAATAAAGTAACTTTAATCAAAGGGCCAAATTTGGAATAAAATTCTATAAGTTATATGAATACCTGTGGAATTTTTAAACATTTATGTTGTTGATGATAAAGGTGAGATCAATTTTCCAGCTAATACTCATGTTCTTAAATTATCAAATAACTTAAAAATTACAAGTGGGTGATCTTTTTTTTTTTTTTCTTTTTTTTACTTCATTAAGTTCAGAATTATCTCTAGAATCCAAATTTGATGGGTGCCGGATTCTATTATATTGGTTATTAGATTGGTGAGTTAATCATTTTTTCTATCTCTTTTAGATTATTAACCCTTCATCATGTTAAAAAAAAAAGGAAATGGAATGATGACACTTGCACGGGAAATGATGAATTACAAAAACCCCAGTGCATACTTTGTAATGCTGTGTTTTTCAATGCAAATATGAAGCCATCAAAGCTGCAAGAACTCTTCAACAACAAGCATGGTGGAGGTGGTGTTGAAGGCCATGATTTTGAATCACTGAAAACTAAAAGAGCCCGTATTCAATCTCAAGGAACCCTTCCAAGATTAGGTTTCATTTCTGTTGACAAACCACTACTGCTGGCTTCATACCAAGTGGCATATAAAGTAGCCAAGTCCAAGAAACCCCATACATTTGCAGAAGAGCTGATCAAACCGTGTGCATTAGAAATGGCAACTATTCTAGGCCAAGAAGCAAGAAAAAAGCTTGAATTAGTACCGCTATCAAATGTCATTCACAAATGAATTGGTGATTCGAGGGATGATATTTTGGATCAAGTTATCTCAGTTATCTTGAAAATCTCTCTCCATTTGGATGAATCAACTGATGTATCAAACTGCAGTCAACTCATTGCATTGGTTAGGCATGTCAGTGATAGTATTGTGAAAGAAGATTTCCTGAAGAGCTGAAAACAACCACACAAAGAAAAAAATATGTATCAGTTTGTGAAAAACTTCTTTGACAAACAGGATTTAGATATCCAAACTATTGGTTCTGTGTGTACTGATGGTGCTCCTGTGATGCTAGGGAATAAATCTGGATTTTCTGCACTGATGAAGAAGGAGATTCCACACTTGCAAGTTTCCTACATTGTCATGTCTTGGCAGAAAACGGTTAAAAAAAGTACTTGACACTTGTGTAAAGATCATCAACTGGATTAGGGGTCATGCTCTGAACTACCACATTTTAAATTGTTTTGTGAAGATCTGAGAAATGAATATACAGTTTTGCTTTTTCACACAGAAGTCTGCTGGCTCTCATGAGGGCAAGCTTTAACCCACTTCTTTGAAATGCGGGAAGAGATCAAAGCTTTTCTGGAGGATCATGACTATGATCAGGTTGGTGAATTGGAATCACAAAATTTCATGTAAATGCTGGTTTATTTGGCTGATATTTTCACTTGTATGAATGAATTGAGTCTCTCTCTTCATGGAAAAGATATGAACATTGAAATGTTGCAAAAAGTTAAAAGCTATCAAAGAAAATTTGCCTCTGTAGTGTCGATGGGTGGAAAGAGGAAATCTTTCAAATTTTCTATCACTTGAAGAAATTATTGATGATAATGGATGTCTAATTCTTACTGTGCATGAAGATATTGTGGCTCACTTAGAAATGCTGTCAAAATCATTTGATGGATATTTTGAAGCTGGAAAACGGAAGATTTCAGGAGATTGGATCATGAATCCATACACTTAGAATTTGAATAATATGTCGGTTGATGACAAGCTGAAGGAAGATCTTATTGATTTGTGGACAAATCATGCTCTTGAAATGTAATTTGAAAGACTTTGGAGGAGTATTGGTGTTCAGCAATGAATGTTTCTAAAACTTTGTGAAAAGCACTTGGTGTCCTTATCCCATTTGTGACCACATACTTATGTGAGTCTGGATTTAGTTCTTTTGTCAATCTAGACAAAATCTAGAAATTGCATGAATCCACAGGCAGACGTGTGGATCGTTATCAGCAACAAAGTACCACATTTTAACAAAATCATATTCAAGAAACAGGAACAAAAAAGTCATTAGATTTAAATTTTACATTTTTTAATGTGAATTTCTTAATGTTAGATTTTATTTTTTTTAAATTGTCCAATTTTCACTTATATTAAATGAAAAGCTTAATTTTTTGTACCATTTGTTTGTATTTAAGTTTGTTATAACGGTTTTCTTTTTTCTTCCTTTTCATGTCATTCAAAAATTAGCTTAAATAAATCTGTTGCTCAAATTGAGTATAAATCGGCTTCTTCATCTTCATATGAGATATTACTTATGTGTGTGTGTGTATATATATATATATATATATATATATATATATATATATATATATATATATAGCATAATTTCGATAATTAATATAGAAAAAGTTGCAAATTAAAAAAATGTTTTTATGAAAGTATTTATTTATATATATTTGATATTTCAGATCGACCTCGATCTTTCTTCAGAAATAACTGTTTTTAGAGGTTTGTTTACAAGTAGCGTCCATCACGAGATGCGGACGTCACGTGATATGGAACACCACTGTGTTCGAATATTCTTAACGTAAATCTAACTGTAATAATATTTTAGATGTTGTTTAAAAAAAATTTTAACTATATCTAAAAAAATGTTTAACTATTGAAGTCTTTATTTAACCCTAGTTTATATGTATTTAATTTTAAAATCCAGTATTTTTCTTTTTTTTTTCTGTGTGTGTATGTGGAACTGAAATCAGAATCAGAATAAACATTTACAGTTTTCTAATGAGTGTTCTGATTGATTAAAGTGTTCAGCTATGGGAGAATAAGGATTGTTTTGACGTATGGTTTGTTTATGATTGTTGAAGCATTCTAAAATTATTTTCAGATTCACCAATATATCCACTATTAGGACATATGGTGCAGAATAAATAGTAGATTATGTTATGGCTATCACAGGTGAGGTGAGTTGGGTGTATCTTGATATTGGTGTTGGGTACAGCAAATACATTATCTATTAAGTGTTTGCAAACTAAGCAACGAGTTTGTTACATTTGTAATTTCCTGAATGGTTTGTATTGTTTAGATATTTGGTAGAGGAGAGGATAGCTGATAGGTTAGGTAATTGTTTCTTTGCATTTATGGGTGGTTTATCGAAAATGCCTTTGATCTTGTTGTCTAATTGGAGGTTCTTGTAATCCTTTTTTAAATTGTGAATAAGTGTATGGGAATATTGATTGTGGTTAAAAACCATGGGAATCCGATTGTTGTTTTTATTTTTCTTGTATGTGAGAAGTGTGTTACAATTTATGTGGATAGTTTTATTTAGTGCTTCTTTTATTATTACTTTTTTTTTTTTTTAAACAACATCTAAAATATTATTACAGTTAGATTTACATTAAGAATATTTGAACACAGTGGCGTTCCATATCACGTGATGTCCGCATCTTGCGATGGACACTACTTGTAAACAAACCTCTAAAAACAGTTATTTCTGAAGAAAGATCGAGGTTGATCTGAAATATCAAATATATATAAATAAATACTTTCATAAAAAAAACATTATTATTTTTTTAATTTGCAACTTTTTCTATATATATATATATATATATATATATATATATATATGGGGTACAAGATCATATAAGTTTTCTAGGGGTACAAGGCATAGAAAAGGTTGAGAACCCCTGGTGTAATGGATAATGCCTTGGAATGAGAAATCTGAGAGATGAGTTTGAATTCCATTCAAGTTTGTTATATTTGATATTTTTTTCTTTTATCAGTTTACAAAGAAACTTTTTTTTGTATTTTCTGACCTTTCTGTTATTACAAAATTAATCAAAAGTGTTAATTGTATTGTAGGAAATTCAATCACCCAAGTCATTTATATTAAAAATCCAAACCTCTGAATTCCAAACAATAATAAAATAAAAATGAAGAAAACATGAGTATGTCTGTTAAATAAATCATTTGTATTTACAAACATATCTACATGAATTCAAAGGAGTTGAAAAGGCATAAAAATAGTCTTTAGTTGAGTTATAGTCTTTGGGTAGGTGTTACACAGAAAAATCTGTGTACTATGTTTTAAAAGTTGGTTTGCAGTTAAAGCTGTGGTTGTAAAAAGAAAAAACAAAAAAAATCTTTTTAATAGTTAATATACAGAAAAAAAGCTGCGGTTGTAAAAAGACGTTATAGTTAGTGAAAATTCACTATCTTTGTTGTTGGAGATAATTCGTTTGAAGTCACTAACCTTGCCTGCTGTTGTTGTAGATGATTCATTTGAAGTCACCAACACATTTCTTTCAGTACATGCTATGGAAAGACAGTCACATCTCTGCTCCCTGAAAGTCAAAATCTGTGGGCTTTTATAATAAAATCTTTTCCAAAAGTAGGCTCAAGAAAAATATGGTTTTATTGGTCAAATATTTCACATGGTGATATTAATTTCTAACCAATAAACACTTTGATTTAAATGGTATGTGCTGTATTGTGGAATCTTTTTGACATGTTTATAATATTGTCTTTTTTGGGGTAGAAAATAAAGTTTGTTGTGTTTTAATATGGCATTTATGTAATTGTGTTGGAAATAGGGTTTATTTCCTATAGTATTACTAAAAATATTTATTATTATTATGTTACATTCTTTGATTATTCTAGATTAAAATTTACATTTTTGCTAGAGATTCCACACAAAGTAACTTTTTTATTTTAACTTTATGATGAATACATAAAAATGATGAATCTATATATAACATAAGAAGCATGTTATGTAAAGATTGATTTATCATTTTTCACAAAAATTTAAAGGAATTAATACACTTTTAGACTTCATCAGATAGAATGGACTGATCAACTTTTAATATTTGTTTGTTTGCTTTTCATAAATGTAAATTTAAAGATCATATTTATAAGCAATCAGTATGAACAAAATGTGGTTGACTTTGTTGCTGTTCCATATTGTCATCTTAACAAAATCTTTATATTATTCTCAGAATACTGTGGATAAATATTGAAATATTTATAAAATAAGCCACACTGTTAACCAAATACTGATTACCTAAATATATGTTTGGTGACTTAATTTCATTCTTTCTTTAAATATTTTTTAATAAATAAACTTTTTCTTTAATCTCATACTTTATTCTGTTAATCTTGTTCAGGTTTATTTTCATTCTTTATATTAAATACTGATAAAAAGTAATGTATTATTTAAATAGTAATAATCTTTTATCCTTATATTCTGATATTTTAGGTTTTGGTTATGCTGACTTGGAGAACCGTGTACCTTGTACCCGAGACACTGTGATGCGTATAGCAAGCATCAGCAAGCCCATCACTATGGCAGCAATTGCAAAAATGTGGGAAAATGGCAAAATAGATTTGGACAAACCTGTACAGTATTATCTTCCATCATTTCCTGAAAAGGAAGTAGATGGAGAAAAGGTATGTAGACTTTTATATCACAAATAAAATTCCAAATCTGAGAAGTAGATAAATTACAAAATTACTATAGTCTGTTCTTGTTCCACTGTCCATGTCTACAGATATCTTATCTAGTTCTTATTTTTAGTACTGCTTGCTTGCCCTAGTTTCCTCTGAGTCCAAGTACACATTACCCAACTCAGGTTATTGTCCCTGTGGATTACTCAGATTGATATACACCTGAGGAAGGCTGGAGGGCACAATGGCTGCCGAAACATTGTGATAACAACAACAAAGATGAGGACAGTAGACCTAATGTAAATAATGATAAATGCTCATCACAGAAATTCAAACAGAAAATCATATCAAATGTGCATTTTATATTTAGCTATGATTTTCATCCAAATGATCTTTTTTTCCAAAAGCATTTGTTAAAAAGAATAGATGCATAAGCAATAAAAAGCTGATTAAACATTGTACCTAAACTGACATGGGGAAATTTGTCATCAAACTAATAATAAAATTAATAATGTGTGATTTAATTAAGTATTCACTTTCTTAAATGCTGGTGAGGAAATTAAAATCTTGATTGACCTTCAACTCGGAATTATTTCAGTTATAATAAAGCTTGATTTATAGTGATTTAATTTTTGTTCACATGACATTTGAAAGAATTATGGATTTATTTTTTAAGTTGATTCAACTAACCTTTTGCAACTTGATTCAAGGTTAGTTCTGCAACTTCAATATTATAAGAACATCATTCAAATCAGATATAAATAACTGAAGCTCTTAGATTCAATGGATAACATGTCAATCAGATAAATGGAACTGTTCTCAATAAACTTGAAATTTACTATTTTCTTTCTATATAAGAAAAGCTATTGTTGCTACTTACCTGAATGCTTTCAGGGTGGTAACACCTGTTAGGGTCTCAGCTATGAGCAAATAGTGAACCCCCAAACTAGGATCAAAATACTATGAAAGTATAAAAATAGATTTTTATAGTAAATATACCAGTAATAAATCATAATCCAGACTTTCAACCTAAACCCTCTTTACAAAAATATTTTAATGAAACCTGATCTACAAATTGATTTCTCACAAAGACAACATATTCTATTCATATGAATCTATCCTAAAAATTTTGTCACCATTAAATAACACATTGAGGTTGATATGCTGTAAAACACAAGAATTGCTTTGGGAAAATAAATAACTTTAGTAAAAGTAGTGACAAAAACAATTAAGGCTTCTAATTATACTCCCAAAAACAGTTTTATGTGTTGTTCATCATTCTAAGTTGCCAGTATAATTTTTTCAATAATATTTTGAACAATAAATTTGATAATTTTGAAAGGTGAGAAAATTGCATGTATTTATGTTCATACTTTTGTTTATATAATGTTATTAATAATAACTAGATCTTCTTTCCAGTCTTATGATTTTGAACATAAATAGGAATAAATCTTAGTAATATATTAGCAGAAAGGATAGTTATATCGGTTATCTGTGAATGTTTCTTTAGGAAAGAATATATGCTGTTAACAAATATTGAAAAAACTCACATAAATTTAGTCTGCTTCTTTTTGTTTTTTTCTTTTTGTTTTGTTTTTTTCTTTTTGTTTTGTTTTTTTCTTTTTGTTTTGTTTTCTTTTTTTTTTCTAGGTAACCATTACACTACATAACTTGCTGAGTCACATGAGTGGTATTCGTCACTATAGCAAGGCTTATTTAAATAAAAAGAATGATAAAAATAATAACAATGAAAATAAGGTGAGCATTCTCTTTTTCAGTCTAATCAGCTACAATTTTTGTTCATGAAAGTTTGATTATCCGCAAGCATAATTTTCTTTTTTAGTTACTTTCTTCCTTTATACATTAAAATATATTTTATGTAATTAATGTTTTAATAAAATTAACATGTATTATAAAATGTTATTTTTTATCTTTTTTTCAAATATAGGCCATGATGAGTTGAGAATAGTGAATGATATCAGTAGGAGATTAGTAATCATTGGCTTAGATTTTAGATAAAGCTCTATCTTTTAATTCTACTCTGAATTTGTATGGAAATTTAAATTATAAGCAAAGAAACATATAGATTGCCATGTAATACTTGGAAGGAACCAAGCTGAATTCAGTTTTTACTGTCAAACTATTATAACTATTACAATGACAAGGACAATGTAACATTTCTAGCTAACTATTCAGTTTGTTTACACAATCCTAGATTTACCTATAATAAAACAAGTTATAATAAAATAAATTGAGTTTTGAAACATAAAAGATGAGATTAACTCCAAAAACCATGCTTGTAGGTAATCAATATTTGATTAACAAACAAGTACAAGAGATTGCTAAAAAGTTCTCTGCTCAGCCAAGAAGCTCTTCCAAAAAATGATTTTTGATCTTTTTATCAGACTTTCAGAAGTGGTTTGGGCAAAAGATTTTCCACATTTTCATGTATAGTTGATTTTTATTAAAGTTTGGATAAACACTTTTGTCAGAATAGTATAGCTGAAAGGAATTAATGTTTAATTTTATAAGTACATAAAAATGCAGAATAAAGACTCAGAGTAGATAATGATGATAATGGACATGTTCAAAATCAGCTTAAATTATTTTCCTCCAAACCCCAATCTTCAAATCTAATGAATCTTTTAAACAGAGGTGTATTCTGAAGCAATCAACTACTTCATAAAAAAAGAATATAAACTTTAATTTTTTTAATAGCTAATGTAAATTTCAGTTAAAAATGATGAAATCATAAATTATTTTGTTCAGGATTTTCTATATTAATAGCACTTTTATATTTATATTCCTGTACAATCTTACTGAGAATACCATTAAGTGCTTTAAAATTTTGTGAAAGAGAGCAGATTCTGTTGTCACTTTTATAACTTGTTTATCGTGTAGATATTTTTTTTACTTGTATCATTTGGTTGATGGTCGGAGCAAATCTGATCCTTTGCATGAGTTATAAAAGCTATTTTTATAACTTATGCAAAGGATCAGTTTGGGTAACAGAAAAAATATTTACAAAAAACTGACAAATTTATCATGTCATCGTTTCTCTCCAATAGCAAGAATAACTGCCTTTGATGAAATCTTTTCTATAACTATTGACTCATAGATAAAATATTAAAAAAAGAAAAACTTTTAAACTGTTAACAGGTTTTGAAAATTAAAGAATTTAGCAAAAAAACTTTTGAAAACCTGGGAAAATAATATTTTAAAAATAAGTTTTTATTACAATTAACAAACTCAAATATTTCAAGTGATAAGTTTCATTATTGTTCTGTTTAAACATTTCTAAATTATCTTTTTTTATCTTGGCTTACTTTTTTTGTTTTTTTGTATTTTCTTTAGTTTTTATTTTTCTCATTGTTTGTTTCATTCACTTTTTTTTTTTTATTATATCACCACAAGCAAGGCAGTAAAGCCACTAAGACACAAGTGGTTACTAAGTATGAAAGATTAAGAAAAAAGGAAACATTATTAAGGAGTGAGAAAATAAAAGAGAATCAAATGTCATCTTTTATTTCGTATTTTACTTACAAAAATTGAAAGCTAACTTATCTGTGCAAGAAATACATATTCATTTGTTCTTTTATCAAAATGTTATAAAAAAAAATAAAGGGAGAAACAGACAGACAGACAAAGAGGTACACAGATCTTTCACTCCTCCCCCCAATCCTCTTATTTTTGTTTCCTTCTAGCCACTAGATAATTTCTAGCTGTCTTATCTACTGATATTTCAGGCTACTCTACATTTCATTCTTGTTTCAATGACAGAGTAAGACTTGATAGAAGTTGACTGAAGTTTTGTCAACACTTATGGATAATTGTAAAATTTAAACTAAGAAATGTGAACCTCAAGTAGTTTTGTTAATTTCAGGAAAGAAGAACAGAATAATAATCAATTTTAAATAGTCAAACTTCTCTACTAACAAGTTTCAAGTCTTATATAAAGATATGTAAATTTAAATTGGAAACTAAATACATAACATATTTGACAGAGATTCACACTTTTTTTAATATACAACAATAACAAACAATTGGTAAAATTATATAGTAGTTTGGTAGATTAAAAATGGATGGCTAAAATTTTCCTATACAAAAAATATTGCAGGGAAGTTTTATGGTAATTGAAAATGCAAGAATTTTAACAACATAGCATTCTGTGGAAAAAATTTTGTTCCCATTAAATGCATATAATATGCTACATATGTTTTTTTGAATATTTTTAGTAACAAAATATCTTTTAAAACATGTATTTGGCTGATAGCTCAGTCCTGTTTTACTTTGAAGATATTTTCTTTGTTTTTATATGTTCATGTTTTCTTTTTGTTTTTTAATACTATGGCATAGCTAATTATGGTTTTCCATGTTTTTTTTATGCTTTTCTTTCCATGTTTTTATGCTTTATGACATATCTAATTATGGTTTTCCATAGATTTAATTTCTTTGATACTTTTTTGAATTACCATGGTTTCTCATGAAAGATAATGGAATAATTGCCTGTTACTTTCTCTGGTTTTTAATTCATAATAGTCCTAGCCTGGTTAACACCTGAAGCTGGAAAATCAAGACTATGTTGCTATTCAATCTATAGCTGGGAAGAAAAGGCATGGATTCATGCCTTTCCAAAGGGCATTGGTACAATAGTATCTAGTATCTTAAATGTAGCAGACTAGGTCAGAATTTGAATGCAGCTTGCTGACTCCATTTTCTGTTATTCTACCTATACATCCTTAATTTTTAATACCTATTTTATAATGGTATTCGATTCAAATTTGAGTTATATAACCCAAATTTGAATCAAATACCACTAATATTTGTAAGTAACATTCAAAGATGGACTTGATTATATTTTTGTGAATGTTAAGTGGTTTAATGAAAGGACGAAAATATAAATTGGTTGAATTAACAAAAAGATTTTGGTCTAGATCCACTACTATTAAAGTGGTGAAAATAATTTTAAGATACCTCAAAAATATAGCTTGCAAATTTCAGATATTTGTCAAAGTGACTAACTTACTTCATTATGCATGAAAAAAAGAATTGGAAATTCAATTTTAAGATCAATTTTTAACAAGGTGCTCTCACTGCAAGCAAATGCAATTTAAGCTTTGAAGAAATTACATATTTTGAGGTTAGAAATAAGTTTATTCTAGAAATATTGTTAACTAGCTTAAAAGCTGCTCTATTGTAGAGCTCTTGATTGACACCTTTATCAGAAAAGGAGTAGATGTGATAGGCAACAATAAACTACAAAAGAACTCAAAACTGATCACTACATTTAAGTAGTGCATTAATATTTAAGCTTACCTTTTAAAAGTTCAGCAATAATTCTTCTGCTGCCAATTAATTTAAAGACAATTTGATGTACATACGAGATCCTTACTTTTTGTACAAACAGTTTTATTTCATGGGTAACTTTCACTGGATTTCAAAATTTTGTTTGTTTCCAAATTTATTTCTAAGTTATAAAAGTAGTTATCATACAAAAAAAATTGTCACAAAAAAAATCACCTAAAAAATTGATGAAAACAGTCACAGTAATGAAAACTTGGGAATCCAGAATTTCAGGATTGTAAGTCCAAATCCGGCCTGGAATGTTTTTAATTTGCTCACAGTCAGCCTTATTCTCAAATGGTATATGTTGGGCTATTGCCTCTAGGAGTAAAGTTGAAAATGTGTGACATAGTGACACACTGATATTTGCATTTATTATATAGATTAAACATAGGAGAATAATTACAAACCTTTCCTTTTGACAGTAAAAATAAATAAATACACTTGCTTTGCATTAAGGACATAAGATTTTTCAAACATTCAAGGTGAATTTAATCCCAGCAATGTTTCATATAAGAGATAAAGTTCTTCTTTGTTTATGGTCACATCTTGAAAGGATTTCCTGAAAGTTCCCAATGGAATTGAATTCTTAAGAAATTACAAACCAGTTCATGATGCCCTTGCATTGAAGCCATTCCTTGTTAGTTACTTTACCATTATGAATGGCTGTTATTCTACTGAAAGTCATAATGTTTCTTCCATAATGGCAGTCAGTTAATGAGGCAATACTTTTCTCTAAGACTTCTCTGTAATCCTGAACATTTTACCTTTCTTACCTCATCAACAATTCTACTTTGAATGAGAAATGTCCCTATATAATAACCTCCGCTAAATGGCTGTTTAGAAAAAAAAACTTGTTCCTTAGATTATGCTAATAGCATCACATTGGGACCATCAAAATTGAAATTCTCCTCAGAAAACATTGTTTCATTTTTCTAAGTCACTTTATCTTTCATTCATTTGTTGTTCTAAGCATTAGTCTAAACACGCCTACTTTCTAGACTGGAACACAAGATTTCCCAGTTTATTGCGAATTTGTTGAACTTTTCTAGTGATATTAAGATAAAATTTATTTCAAAAACTCCAAAGACACACAATACCCCCTTTTTTTTCCTCTTGAAGAAGGTGATATTCTGCAGCAATCAATATAGTTGATCTTTCTCATACTTTTTTTTAGTTCCATATATTTCCAAATTCTTTAAATATTAGTAATCTGTTCAGTTTTTTTGCAATGACACTAAGTTAAAATTTTTATCTTTCTGGCAGGGTCTTCAAAATGTGAAGAAAATTCAATACGTGTAGTGCATATAAAGTTTAATTTACAACTTCTAGAATCACTTTGAAACAAAATTAAAGAAACTTCTGGAAAAGACCAGAAGATTTTTCTATAATTCCCACAATTTGCATATATGTGAGCAAATACGTACAAATTGATTTTACAATTGAATTCTTTTTCCTTTTTAATATATAATAAATTGGATTACGAATGTAACCCAATTTTCCACGATATTTAAAATTTACAACCTATATTTGTGGGGGTGTCTTGTAAATATTTGCATTAATTTATTTGTGTTATATACAGTTAAAAGCATAAACTTCCTAAATTTCTCTGTATTTTTTTTTCTCTAAACTATCTATTACATTACCTGCTGTCTGAAACCAGAAAGGAAATAGTGAGAATGAAATTGCACAACTCTCACTTTTTAATCAAGGAATAATTGGCAAAGTTTAACCTACATATCTGGAAAAAAAAAAAAAAACTGTGTGAAAAGGATATTTTTTCTCTTGACACCGCTGTTATTATATACTCCCTCGGCAATATTTATGTTTCGAAAAAAGCTATTTTTATCTATCTGCAGATTTTCTAGGCATGCATCATGCAAATCTTTAAAGAAATTAGCAACAATTTCAAATTTTTAGAAAAATTGTTTTTTTTTTTTGTTTTTTGTATTTTTTTAAGAATAGTTGGTGGTTTTTCCGACTTTGGGTTTCTATCAATTAGGCTTTTGTTTGCTCACTGTTGTAAAATAAAAAAAACAATTTTGAAAATTAAAACAAGAAGTAATCTGAGATCTAAAATAATCTGAGTAGAAAATATTCTGAAAAAGCATGTTTATTAAAATTTCCTTGTTCTATAATTCACAGACAATTTTTTATATATTTATCAATTATTTTCATAGTTAACTATTTATAAAATAATAAATATTTCATTGTAATTGGTTCACATTTTTATATGCTTGTAAATAAACAATATGATAGTTTAATATTTTTGTTGTTAATTCATGAGAAAAATTAGAATGTATAAATCCAGTTTCATATGTTAGGGTTTTATTAAAATTCTAAAAATAACTTTTTAAAGCAGTAAACATTGCTGAGGACATATACAGTAATAGCAATGTCAAGAAAAAACAATTCTTTTGACACACTGTTTTTTTTTTTTTGTTTTTTTTTTTTTGCAGGAATGTATATTAAATTTCGCTGAATAAAATCACTTCAGAAATGAGTAATAGATATGACATTAGCCTCTAGCACTTTGCATTATTCACAAGTATTACTTCCCCTTTCCATTGTATATGATGTTCCTCAAATGCAGTTGCCTAGTATTAAGTCACTTGCAGGAGTTGGCAGCAAAACAAATCACCCCTATTGTTTAGTATGATTACATTTCTAAGTTTACCTGAAAGTTTACAATTTTTCATAATTCTACTATCAATGTTATTCTTTTTTCTTTCTCTTTTGTAGAAGGTTGTAGAATCTTCAGACAATAACAACAATAACAATCATGAAAACTCTGAAGAGAATGAAAGTGACAATGATAAAAACTCTAACAAAAAGGAAAAAGATGAAAAGATTGATGAGTTTTATTTGAAACGCTCTTTTAAAAATGTTGAAGAGGCTCTCACTTTGTTCAGAGATGATCCACTTGTACATAAACCAGGTAAATAAATTATAAAGAAACTACAATTTAAATTAAAATTGCATCTGAAAGTCATGTACTTGCAGATGTGGAAATTCAACAGTGCATTTTTTTTAATTTAGGAACAAACTAGATGTTCTTTCAAAATACAGAGAAAGTTGTTATTTACTTATCTTATATATTTGTGCTTTCTTGTATAGTATTATCCTTAGTTTTCAAAGACTTCTCAAAAGAATATCTTTCTTGTGAAAAATACTCTCTCTTTTTTTTTTTTTTTTTTTTTTTGTTCTTCTTTGCTTGGCTGTTATATTTTGCAGCATCCTGAGAATGGAAAAAGTTGATGGCAATTAAATCCTAATTGTAGCAAGTATATTCCAACCATTATGAATATGATCATATTGTTATTAAATAAATCTTAGTCTTCCTATGTCAAATTAATAATGGAACTCTAAGTAATTTTTATTTTAAAGGAATGTTAGAAGCATTATGCTCATTGTAGGTTGATATGTAGGCAGGTATTAGCAACCATATAGATTTTCCAGTTTTAGGAAACTACAGCAAGAAAAAAATAGCGTTTTCAATTTTTTTACATCAAGAAAAACATGCAAAAAGTTATAGGATAGGAGTACCTTAACCTATAATTTATACTCTGAAATCTGGTGAGTCAGTGCAAACACTGGCTAGGCTGCACATGGCGAAGCAACCTGAATTATTGAAGCTCAAATGGATGCCAGATCGATGCAACAATCAATTTTTGAAATTGTGGGAACATTTGACATCCCTTAATCCACAGGGTCACAGGATTACCAGGGATACCTTCTGTAACACAGTGTTGTAGCTGATCATGTGTTCTTGATGATTGTAACCAGAAGCATCTGGCTAGAATTGTCTACAGTAACAGACAAGTGGCTCAAATGACGTTCACATTCAATACAGATTGTACCTGATGCACATTCAACAGTTCAGCATAGAGGATACCCCAGGATTCTACTGTTAGCACCACAACATCAAACACAACACCTCACATGAGCTCATGATGTTGCTCATTGGACTCTGGAGGGCTGGCAATGTGTAGCATAAGATAAGATTTGAGTAAGATGCAGACCTCATGAGGCTATGGATTCCAGTTGTCAACAATGCACCATGCTGGCTGATGTGGTTTCATAATAAAGTGGGGTGTTTTCACATGTCTGCTGGTCAACTTAAACATACCATGTAACCATGATGTTACCCTACTTTGTAACCCTTTACACCTATTCATGGACTCTATGTAACTCAGTAACGAGTTATTCCAGTAGGATAATGTACCATCAAATCCAAGTTGCCTAGAATTGCTTTGAGGAGCATTCTGTAGGTTTCTGTTGAATGCTCTAACCACCAATTTTGCCTGACATGAGTCCAGTTGAATTTTTATTGTGGAAAGATCTATTTCCATGTAAAATCATGCACCTACAAATATTAGGAAGTTGTGGACAGCTATCAAGATGGCATGGCTTGACATCTCCATTTATCTTCTGACCATGTGTATGCCACATCAAGTTACTGCACTTGACCAGGCTAGAGATGGTTCTCTATGCTACAAGACTTTATATGACCTTTGCCATTTTAGTGTATAGACAGTAATAACTGAATAACTCCTTTTTTGTATATTGTAAGTTGTTAATCTTACAGTTTAATCATTTCAGTATTGACTTTGAAAAAGAAAGTTTATTTAATAAGTTGGGTTGGTTATTTTACAAAATGTTAACCCTTGTTAGATTTTTTTATGGATCACCCAGTCTGGATCAAACTCACTACTTAGTAGGAATGGTCAGTCAGACTAAATTTATTAACCTCCAAAGTGCCCTTATTTAATAAATCCTCAAACATATTGTATTATTGAAAGAATAGGATTCATATTTTTTCATCTGGAAAATTAGTTTTCTGTTATCAATTTTATCATAAGGAAACCTTGATAATTATTATAAATTGATAATTCTTAGTAAGGATTTGAGTACACAATGGAATTTTATGTTGCATTGATTATAAACAATAGAAATGTTTTAAGGAAAAGTTTTATTTCCTAATATTTATTTTAGGTACTAAATTTCTTTACACAACCCATGGCTGGACTCTAGCAAGTGCTGTTTTGGAAAAAGCTAGCAATATTCCCTTTCCCAAATTGATGACTGCTGTATTCAGAGAACTTGGATTGCATAGCACCTGTTTTGATAGAAATGAACCTATAGTTTACAACAGGGCCCGGTAAGCTATACTTTATATTGATCAGTTTTCATTTTTAATGAGTATAAAAAATTATGTTGATTTTTTTTTTTTTTTTTTTTTTTTTTTTGGTAATACTCTCAACTTCAGTGTCTTCCCATCCAGATGTGCTATAAAAGATAAGTGTCTGAAGTAAAATTGTTAATTTGAACTGATGAGAACAAAATATCATGCTAAGAGTTTCAATAACTGACCATTTTATTTTATCAGTGAAATGTATCGGAGCAAATTTTTATGTTGACACAAATATTTCTCTGCTTAAAACAAATTCAACAGAAAATTTGTCACTTCTTTTGCAGATTCTACAGAACCACAAAGAATGGCCAAGTGGTTAATGTTCCTTATGTGGATAATTCTTATAAATGGGCTGGGGGTGGTTTTTTATCAACTGTTGGTGATTTGATCAAATTTGGTAATGCTATGCTTTACAGTTTCCAATACATGGGCCTTGAAGATTTTACAAACAATGGATCCTCTGAAAATCATCCAGATACAAAATTAAGGGCTAACACACTTGCTACAGATACCCCTGCAGGAAAACCAGGTTACCTGAAGCGATCAACTATGATAAATCTTTGGAAACCTGTTGAAGGAGCCAAAACCTCAGAAGCAAGTGATATGCACTATGGTCTTGGCTGGTCAGTACTGCCTGATAAATATGAACATCCATTCTGCCTGAAGAACCGTTTTTATACCTGCCATACAGGAAATAGTGTTGGCACCAGTAGCATTTTGCTTATTCTGCCAGCTGATTCTACTAACCCAACCAAAAACCCACCAAAAGGAGTTGTCATTGCTGGCTTAGCTAATCTATCAGGGCTTAGTTTTATACAGTTTGCATTGTCTTTAGCTCAAGTATTTGAGCGTGTGCAGATGTGACAACTTGGTTTCATATAAGTTGGACTTGTATTAGTATGTTCGTATTTTTCATTTGTCAATGTTTAAAGTAATAGTTGTTTGATGTCTTAGGAAACAAATATAAAAAAACAATATTCTAAATGTTAGTTAATATACATGTAACAGCTCTGAAAATATCATCTAATGTTAGATTATGCACTATTTGCTTTAAGAATAAAGTCTAAGGAATTATTTTATGGATGTATATTTTGGGAAATATTTTGCTAAGTCTATGTAATATGTACTTAATAATACATTTAATTCACATTTAGACACATTTTAAACTATTCTGGATTTCATCATTCTATAAAATATTGTTAATACTATGAAAATATTTTAAGAGGAATTTCTCATATAATTTAAGTTGGCAATGGTTTTTAGTCTCTCACAGTATATATTTATTTATAAGTAAATGCAGAAAATTATATGACATTGTTTTAAATTTATATACTTGTTTTTTATGACCAAAATACTATTAATGCTCTCATTTTTAATAGTTTCTCCCATTTTTTATTAAACATTGACTATTTTTTCATCTATTTTCCTAATACAGTGATTTTTTTTTTTTTACTTAAATATCAATTAAGACATCCATTTTGAATATGGAACTTTGGTTTTGAGTTCATTATATAAAATCAAATCACAGTCAGTTTCTTTCTATATCCCGCTGCAATAAATAAACCTTAAAAGAAAAAAATCTGTTAACATACCACCAATTTCTACCTTCTTTTTTTTTTAGATTTTATTTACCCATAAATTCATATTCCAATATATTGTATCAGGTCACAAGTAGGACTTTCATTGTTTTAGACCTTTCTTAATAATAACAGGAATTGGTCAAATTTTGTAAGAAAGTCAAATTTATGTATCTCTCTGCAAAACTTGGATGTTTTTTTACCTTCGAGAAAGCCCTTTTCTTTGTCAAACATCTCAACATGCATATGGAAAAAAAATTTTCTCAAGATACTTTGTGATGAGACAATACAGGGCAACAAAGGTACATGCCTTCTCCATGAACATGAATAACCCCATTAAAAATTCAGATTGAATTTGCTGATTCAATTTTCATTTAGATATATCAACTGGAACCCACAAATATTATCATGTATTTTACACACACGCACACATCTGAGAAGTGACACATACATGAGAGTACATCAATATATTCTCTTTCTGATATGTAGTCATTAGTTGAATTTTGATCAAAATTTAATGCATTGATAAATATTTTTCCACATAATCTTCCTTTTATGTAAAATAAAGGAGTTTGGTTATTATACTATGGACTTATTGATGTACACATATGTATGTGTGTGTGTCTTGTTTTTGTTTTTATAATTTATATAAATACATATTTCTCTGCATTTTTCTGTACAAAATATTTAAATCTGGCTTTTATTTTTGAGATGATTTTTTATCATTTATGAATCAAATTATAATTTATGAATTTGTCCACTTTTATAGACAAAACTTTGTATTGTTTTCAGAAAAAAGTAAAAAAAACATTGACTTTTTAATTTCAGTCAATGACAAGGATATTAAAAAATATATTTAGTGTATAATTGTTTTATAATCTTTTTTATGCATTTTTTCTTTTTATTGCTATCAGCATTGCAAAGTAGCAGTATTTTTATTTTAGTCTCTTTAAAAATACTGACATGGAAAATATAAAAACTGAAAAGTATAACAGTTTACTATTTTGAAAATAATTTGAATTTTAAACTAAAATTTCTCATTTGAATAAACTAGTCTTTCAAAATTATCAGCTTCATCTGCAAAGGTCTGAAAATATGTATATTCCAATAAATTTTAAGTTTTTTTGTTTTTTTCCTGAGCACTTGATGAGGCTCAAACCTCACTCTTAATGGTTTGCAAGACCAGCACACTAACCACTGCACTGCCATTTGTGCTCTTTTTTAAAATAAATTAATGATAATGACATTTTAGTTATTTTTTAATATTACATTCAAGGCTACCTATCTTTGCCTCATTTAAAGCAACTTCTTTGGTTATTTTAATTTTTACTGCTAATTTCTGTAATCCTTCAGAACTGCTGATTATAATATGAATCTTGAGATTTATATAAATTTGACTGAATTGGAAACATAGTCCCATGTGTAAAATCAAGGGATTGTTTGTAATTCATTAAGTCACTAAATTCTATATTCACTGATTAAAGTGTACCAAAATTAAGTAGAACAAATAAAATTTGGCAATGTTTAACATATATACCTACCCCCCCCCAAAAAAAAAATGGTGTTTCTTCAAAAAGACAGTTTTTCTCTTGATACTGCAATTGCTGTATATCCCTTCAGCAATTTTTATTGTTTTAGAAAGTTATTTTTAGAATTTTAATAAAAATCCAAACATATGAAACTGAATTTATACATTTTTTTTTTGTGTGAGAATTGACAACAAAATTATTAAACATTATCTATTCTATTAAACTTGAATATGTGTTCACTTGACAGCTTTACTGTCTATCTTAGTCCTTTTGGTTTAGATCACTAAAAAAAATTTTATATGAAAGTAATTAATATTTATTGAGGATTATATTTCTTAGTTTGTTTGAAAAAAGAAAATGAGAATATAAGAGTTTTTAGGAATCATCAGAGAAAGATGCTCAACTTGTGAAAAATGCAACAGTGGAAATGTTATATATATTCTAATCATTTAAATTTGATCCAATATTATCTGATAAAATCATGTTTTTGTGATAATACCAATTGATAAACTATTTTCTTTTTACTTAGGCTTGTGATCATCATTTTAGTAGTAGGGTTATTGAAATGTTAGGTTTATGTAAAGTTCCTCTCACTCTTTTTTGAAAACTAGAGAATTAATACATAATTGAAATCATTTTTTCCTGGAAACTTTACACAGAAATAAAGTAATAAAACTTTAGTTTTTGATTAAGTTCTTTTATTTTAAATATTTGTTTATAAAGAGGATGAGAGGTTGAATGAGAGATTTAATTTTTTTTCCTTTAATTCATGACCTCCAGATGTCTGGCAAGATCATTTAACACTCAAATTTCTGTTGACACTTATGTCTTGCACTCTTTCTGGAGTGCAACTGTCCAAATAATTAATGCCTAAATGGTCAAATTACCCAATCAGTCTGATTAACATTGATGCATTTCATCGACATGTATCTTGTGATGTTAAGAGACACTATTGAATATATTAGTATATTTAAAAAATAGAGGAACAATTAAATTAGAATAAACTGATTATGTGTTCTTCAAGTATAAAACCATATCACCTTTCCCCCAGACAGCTGCTCTCCCTGAACTAAGTTTCATCCATTGTCTTCACATTGTCCTATTGTTATATTTTTATAAAAAGGACAGGCATAACAAATAAGAATTTGTTTGAAAACCAGTGGGTGAAAGAAATCAGTTCTTAAAGAAATATTCTGAAAAATTTAATTACAAAAAATTAAATGCTAATAGATTTAAGCCACAAATACAAATGTTTTAAATGCCATTAGATTTGAAAATTGGGAAAGACTCCGTAATGGATGCCTGAATTTTATGAAACCTCTTGATCTAAAGACTTTATTTGAAGTGACATCTTTTGCCAACTGACAGAATATTATGTAATTATTGAACTTATAAGTTTAATAATTACATAATATTATACACAATATTATTCAATTTTTAACAAAACCTTTGAATTTTTCAATTGTTTTGTCATGTCCATTACATTATCTCTATGTTGAGCTTCTTTTCATAGTTTGTCTAATTATCTCCCTTGGGAGTTGACACTGATCAACCGAGATTAAACCTGAAAAAAAAATGAATTAACATAGACTGATAGATAAACAGGTTAGATCCTGTGGAATGAACTAAAGGAATTTATCTCTTCAATCATCAACAAATGAACACTATCAGTCACTTCTGTCATCCATAGTTCTACCCATTTCTTCCTTTCTTATTCTAGTGTCATCTTTGATTTGATCAATGAAGGTTCTTGCAATCTACCTCTTGATGCTTTCCCATAATTTGGCAAATTATTAACTTTAAAATAAAAAGTGAATTTAACAGTCAGAATATCCCCTACTTCTAATACATCTGTTTTGTCTTGTGAGTAATTTAAAGGAAACAAATTTAGTCATGTTTTCTATTCTATATTTTAATAAATTCAAAAGTAAAAATCATGTTATAACATAGATTTCAATGAGCCAGTGGTCATGTTAGCAGTTGTAGAAAAAGTAGTGTTTTTTTTAACCTTCACATGACAGTTTGAAGGTGGGAGTAATTAGAATTAATATTAGTAAAATTAACATTATAGAAGAAACCAAATGGCAGTGCAGGAGTTGGAAGGGAAAAGAAATTAAATTGTCTTCTACTTTACAAACAGTAATAATGCAATGTCATGAATTAATGAGATTTATTGACCAATTAAAAAAAAACAGGAAAGTCTGTCAAGTGACTTTACACAAGCTTTTTTTTTGCTTTTATGCAGAAAATGTTATTTTTTCTTAAAAGTAATTATATCACATTATCAGCACTAAAATTATTTTAAAAAGAAATTTTATTTGAGCCATTTTGGTATGCTAGAAAAATATCCTCCCCACTCTGCATTACATGCATTTTGTGTTTAGTTACACATTAAAACATCTGCACTTGATTATGCACAGTACACTTCTAAAATGAGTGCTATAGCCACCATGGTCATTACCTAGTAAAGAAATACCTTTAAATAATAATAATAATGTCACAAATATTGTTTAAACTTATTAAACATTTAGATCTTAGCATTTTCCACAACTTATTATCTACTGTTGTCAGTTTATATTTTTTCAAACTCTACAGTACTCATAGATATTGGAATCATCTGATATTCAATTATTTCTTAATTGGTCAGTAGTTTGTGTGCAATAATGAGCAGGTATTTAGATCTTTGATGTATGCTAAAAATCTACAATGCACTCAAACTTAAAAATATCTTTAACAAGGGATCATGGTTTATTTAATG